TATAGCCTATATACTGCCTGTCTGTCATTTTGAATTTGCCTCAGTTTATAATTTCTCTCACCTGAATAGAGTGGCCAACGGGATTCAGGTTAAAACGAAATGTCTCATTGAATGATGGCTCTCTGTCATGGCGACACACTCTGGTCTTCTTCTTTATGATCTTCTTTTGAGTTGCCACATTCACCACATAAAGCTTTACATACAAGTCTAAAAAGACAGTTGAAATATTACAGATTCAAATACTCTATCAGTGTCTTTCTCAATGGACATTTCACTTATCTTGACTGCAATATTCATATATCAGTGTCATTTTTGAGGTTGTGTTTGAGGAAAGTTTCATTACCAGGTAGGTGGTCTGGAGATTTGAACTTGTAGGTGATGTTTCTACACTGCAGGATCTCAAGAACCAGCTGCTCTCCTTCAGTCTTCATTTCCTTCTTCAGAGCAACCTTGATCTCACCCATCATCTTATCTACAGCCATAGATAGATAGATAGATAGATAGATACAATATTTGTATCTATTTCATATATTTGTTGTCTAGTCAATTTTGAATATGATTTTTCTCTTGTTGGAGGGCTGAAATGTTGCTGTATGTTGTCATTTGTTCAATATAAGTTAATATAAGTGGTGAGCAATAGCGAACTCTAGTGAGCAGGTGTAGAATTACAATTTTACACTGAGCAGAATGGAAAAGCTGGGAACCTAAGCAGGCAAAATCTTCATTTAACTGTTAATACAAAATATATATTTATATGATATAAAACATGGAGCAGTATACTGAAATAGATTTCAGAACAAGACATCAGTGGCAACTAAATACAAAACCGTGTTTTGTGTAATGTTCATTATGTTGTACAAAGATAAACAAAAATGTTCAGTAATGCACTTTTGACACTTTGCCATGCTCATGACACACTTAGAGTCCATGTTTTGTTGTGCCAAACGTCTGTGTCCTTTGACAGCAACAAAAACACACACCCTGTGGCACTGTGATGAATTATTCAGCAGTGTATGGCAGTGACACAGTAAAGCGGAACAGAAGGGGATGACTGCTGTTTTCCTCTGTCTAACAGGTTCGTAGTCTCCTCAACAGCTTTCAGACAAGCGCTAATTCAACCTCAGGGGTGAACCTGACCTGTAGAACACGGTTCAAAGCTCTATTATGACTCACAGTTAGCCAATTTTATTTCGTTCTCATGAGGTTCACTGCTATGAGCACGGAAATGTCTAAAAGTAGACTGCGTGTGAACTGAAAATGAAAATTAAACTGCAATATAAAACAGATTGTTACCTTCTGAATCAGACAGGTTCAAAGATTCAAGTCCTCTGATTTTATCTGTTCCATTCGGAATGTTTTTCCTGATGAGAAGAAAAGTGTGAGAACTACAACTTTTTATTATTTGGATATACAAGATTAGATGTCAACTATTTGGGTTTCTTAATGCAGACATATATACAGTTGTAGCTAGAAACATTACATTTCTAATTTTTTTTTTACATTTCTTATTTAAACTTGGAAATAAACAGTTTTTTAATTTTAGTTTTTTAATTAAAATAAAGAAATATTACATAAAATGAATAAGAAATATCTCAGATTCTGCCTTTTTAAAAATTTCAATTAAATTTTTCATTTAAAATTTTCTCTCAAATTATGATAACATACACAACCATTCAAAACTTTGGGGTCAGTAGGATTTTTTAAAATTAATATTAATTTATTCAGCGTTAACATTAAATTAATCCAAAGTGACAGTAAAGACATTTATAATGTTACAAATGATGTTATAAATGTTATAGATGCTGTTCTTTTGACCTTTCCATTGATAAAAAAAATCCTGAAAAAAAAATTAGCACGTTCACAGAAAAATTTTAAAATCACAACTGATAATAAAAATAAATATTTCTTAAGCACCAAATCAGCATATTAGAATGACTTCTGATTTTTTTTTTTATTAAAATAGAAAACAGTTATTTTAAACTGTAATATTTCACAATATTACAATTTTTTACTATATTTTTTGTTTAAATGCATTAACCTTTAACTAACATTACTGACACTAGTTTAAAAGGGTAGTTTATTATTTAATTTAATCTCAATATAATCATAATTTTAAATAAAATATATAATTACTTATTATTAAAATAGAACATTTTCACCAGTGGTCTCAACAATTTTGGACCCTACTGTTTGATTTATTTGATTAAAAGCAAAAGAGATATACTCAAATGTAAAAAAAAAAAAAAAAAAAAAAAGGTAATTAAAATGTATTGTATTTTAAAACGATAAATTAAACCGTAGTTTACAGTAAAAGTGCATGTAATGGGATTGTTAAACCATTTAGATTTTTTCGCTGAATATGGTTAAGCAACTTAGTTTGCTTGTTTTTAGTCTTTTTCTGTAAAAATTAAAAACTTTTTTGCAGTGTAGGGTGGTTTTCAAAGGAAGCGGTGTTGAGGGGGTCCCACTATGGCCTTTTATGGTATATAGCCTACTCAGTGGGCATGGGAGAGAGAAGTTTGATGGTCTTGACACTATTTGATGTGATAGAAATTCATTCTAATTATACTTAAGGTATTCTAGTTGTTGGGTGTGAGGTACTCTAAAAAAAAAAAAAGGTTAGTGTCACAACATGTATTTCACACAATATTTACTCAGAATTCATTCAAAGATTATTGAAACAAACAAACAAAAAATGTGCAGTATACACTGGCAAAACTGGTGGCACTATCACTCTATTAATCCAAGCCTGGTCTGGGTTTCCCAAAAGCATCGTAATCTTAAATACATTGTAGACCCATTGAAACCAATAGAGCTACGATCAACTTACAATGTTACAAAGTCAACTTAGACTTACAATGTTTTTGCGAAACACAGCCCTGCATGGTTATAGGCCAGTGCAGATAATCTCAAAACAGCCAAATCATCCAACATATCAATCTATCAGTCCACTGGATATACTGAAATCCACAGAATACAGATTAATTGCAATTACAGGCGGGAACAGGCATACTTACAGCTGAGGGACCTGAAATATGGCACTGTCCACAGCGTTAGTGCCCAAGTTTTCTTCACTGTCCAGAGTGTATGCATCCCCATCAATCATTCTGTGGTTTGTTTTATCTGTAGAAACACCCACATACACAAACAGACGATTAGACATCAGCCATATTATGCAAGCGACTCATTATTTACAATACTAACTTAAACACAATTTATGCAAAAAGAATGGGTATGCACTTTGCACACAAATACATTGTAGACCCATTGAAACCAATAGAGCTACGATCAACTTACAATGTTACAAAGTCAACTTAGACTTACAATGTTTTTGCGAAACACAGCCCTGCATGGTTATAGGCCAGTGCAGATAATCTCAAAACAGCCAAATCATCCAACATATCAATCTATCAGTCCACTGGATATACTGAAATCCACAGAATACAGATTAATTGCAATTACAGGCGGGAACAGGCATACTTACAGCTGAGGGACCTGAAATATGGCACTGTCCACAGCGTTAGTGCCCAAGTTTTCTTCACTGTCCAGAGTGTATGCATCCCCATCAATCATTCTGTGGTTTGTTTTATCTGTAGAAACACCCACATACACAAACAGACGATTAGACATCAGCCATATTATGCAAGCGACTCATTATTTACAATACTAACTTAAACACAATTTATGCAAAAAGAATGGGTATGCACTTTGCACACAAAGTTGCATATGGACAGAAAAGAAAAGAGAACTAAAAAAAAGAGACCATCACAGTGAAATGAAAGGTAATGCACTCTTTTTAAAATAACGTCAAACATCGGTTTAAAAACAGAATAGATTTGTATGCAAAAATCATGGCTGCCTTGATTTTAGATTTAAACATTTTCGTGTTTTGCTTCTATACTGGAGGTGTGGTTAGTGCTGATTTTATTCTTATATTTAGAGAGAGGGAGGAGTCACGTGTCTCTCACCTCCTCTAGCAGAGATCCCTCCATGATGGTCATCTGACTCGATACTTTGCTCACATTGGCTGGAAGATGTTGTGTGATCAGTATGGGGCCAGTTCTGCCTTTAGATGGGGCTGTCTCTACACGGACTCATCCAGAGATTGCATAGTTGCCCTCACATGAAACCAGCTCATGATTTTTACACACCACAGTCATGCGGACATAGATATGGGTTTGATTTGGGGGTAAGGGCCTGGGATTTTACTTGCAAGGGGTAATGAGGTAACAGAGGGGTTCATCATGCTCTGGATGTCAGTGTGAAGTGTTTTACAAATTTAGCATCTCTATGACGGCAGGACAGGTTTGTGCTGTACTTTGAGGGATTGTTTTAATGCCTCCTCTGCTACTACAAAATTTGCTGTATTACAAAGAAACACTAAACCTGAATGTCTGGCATGAGATTTTATCTGGGAAATAAAATCTTTAATTGCTGACCCAAGTTTTACTACAGCTGAAGGCAGGTTTGTGATATTCGATTTACGGATGGGAGTTTAACAGACATTGGTAGTTTAAACAATTTAGGGTTTTATAGGCTTTATTAAACATTAAGATCTTTATAATGAGATCATTTCTATTTTGCCACTCAGTATGCAAATGTCAGTTTAAATGCTGGGAGGTTTAAAAAGTACTTCAGAAGAAACTAATTTTTCACTTTTCTTGAAGGAATAGTTCACCCAATAATTCATATTTCAAAAATGTACTCACCCTCAAGCCATCCAGGATGTAGGTGAGTTTGTTTTTTCATAGAAAACAAGCGTTACATCATTTGCTCGCCAATGGAGCGTGAATGGGTGCCGTCAGAATGAGAGTCCAAACAACTAATAAAAACATCACAGTAATCTACAAGTAATCCACATACTCCAGTCCATCAATTAATGCTCTGTGAAGCGAAAAGCTGTGTATTTGTAAGAAACAAATACATTGTTAAGGCATTTTAACATTAAACTGTTGTTTCTGGTCAAAATACAAGTTCTCCAGTGAATTGCTTTGTCCAGCGAAAAAGTCCATCCCCTGTTGTCCTCTCACATCAAAATCTAGCAACATATTTGTTTAGAATTGTTTATGACTTCTTTCGATTGTAAACGGTTATTGAGCTTTGCATAATTCTCTCTTGATTCAGACGAGACAGCTTTTTATTTTTATTTTTTACTGGAGAATATATAGATAGACTTGTGTGGATTATTGTTGATTATTGTTTTTATCAGCTGTTTGGACTCTCATTCTGACGGCACCCATTCACTGCAGAGGATCCATTGGTGAGCAAGTGATGTGATGTAATTAAATTTCTCCAAATCTCTTCTGATGAAGAAACAAACTCATCTACATCTTAGATCGCCTGAGGGTGCGTAAATTTTCAGCAAATTTTCAGCAAATTTTCAATTTTGGGCCAACTATTGCTTGAATACTCAATAAGATATTTTCTATTTTGTGGATTATTAAATATTAAGTTAAATGTTTTTATTTAGTGGTTTTAGGTGTAGGCTTTAATTTATCAACATAAAATGATGAAAACTAAAAATAAACTAAATGAAAAAATGTGTCAGAAAGGTGAGGACGAGAGGGAATGGAAAAGAAATAGCGGAAGAGTGCGAGAACGAGAGGTCAGACAGAAAGGAAGAAAGAAAGACAGAGAACAGATAGGCTGTGAGCTCATGTGAAGTAGTAAGGGTTACTTGGCTGGAATCTGGCCTGTTGCACCGCAGCCTCAGCTGCAGCGATGGCGTTCCCAGCCTCTTCCAGGTGGGCTTGAGTGACGCTGCCTTTGCTCTGGCTGCGTGAGGGGCCGTGGGAGCGCAAGTGACCCTCAGAGGACGATTTGGAGCTGCCAGGACTACTGTGGGACTTTTCTATTGTAGGGACCAGTGTGTCTGTGAACATAGAGTACATGCCCTCTATTAATCCAGAACTGATCCCAAATGTTAAAGGGGTCATATGATGAGATTTAAATTTTTCCTTTCTCTTTGGAGTGTTACAAGCTCTTGGTGCATAAAGAAGATCTGTAAAGTTGCAAAGACTAAAGTCTCAAATCCAAAGAGATATTCTTTATAAAAGTTAAGAGTCAACCACGCCTACCTAAAACGGCTCGTTCTAACACGCCCCCACATACCTACGTCACGATCTGGGAAGATTTGCATAACACCGCCCAAATGTGCACGCAAAGAAAGAAAGCGTGGTTTCAGGAACAGCAGT